AAATTGAATGGTGTTAATTTACTAGGGTTTTTACAAAACTAAATAATATTTTGAAATCATGACCGATTCAGAAAAACATCGATTGCAAAAAATTGAAGGAGCGAGAAAAGCGCTTTTAAAAAGGATGACATATGTGGAAGTTAAAGACATGTTTGTCATGTCTTTTTGTGACATTGCTTCTTTGAAAAAAAAGATATTCAACAAAACAAACCAATGGTATTACAAAAAAGAAAAAACGGCCAAAATGCAATAAAGAATTCGCACAGAAAGTTACAGAGCTAAGTTTAAATGACGTTTTTTCGTCTTCGAAAAAAGTCGGAAAAGAAGTAAAAGGCAGTGCATCAACAGAACCAGACACAAAGAAGGATTTGTTTTTACCAAACAAACAAGTAGACCGTATGTGAAACCAATTCATTTTAAAAAGCGATTTGATTTTTGTAAAACAAACAAATATAAAAACGTTCGAAAGTCGATGCATTTAAAAATGGACTACAAGGACAATATTTACAGACGAAAGTCGCTTTTGTTTGTTGTCCGATGGACGGTACATTTGGAGGAAAAAAAGAACACCCAGAAAAGTCCTTTGTTGATTGTGCAAAATACAATGTTTTTACTATGGTATGGGAAGGTATTGGTAAGAATTTCAAAACCAAACCGTCTTTTTGTCAATGTAAAATGAACAAAGAAGCTAATGTTTAAATGTTAAAAGACAATGGGGTTTTTGAAGAAGCTAAGAAAGTCTATGGCAAAAGATTCTATTTAATGCAGGATGAGGCTCCGTGTCATACAGCCAAATATACAAGCGAGTGGTTTGAAAAAAATGGCATCAGAGTAATAAAAAATTGGCCGCCATACTCCCCAGATTTGAATCCGATCGAGCATTTGTGGAGTATAATGGAAATGCGTTTGAGAAAAAAGAAGAGTGCTTTTATAAATTTGAAAGAACTTGAAAATGAACTAAATGCCTTGTGGGATTCCATATCTTATGAAACCATCAACATCTTTATTTATTTAATGCAAAAACGGTTCGATCTTTGTATCGAGAATGATGGGAGATTCATTGGTTATTTGCTATAATTACTGAATTAACAACTTTATCTAAACCGCTTTATTTTGCATAAACATTTTAGTGCTTTAAGGTAATTATTTCTTTTATTTTAAAGTATTTTTCTTTAAAATGATAAATTTTTTTTAATAATAAAGTGGTAGTAAAAAAAGAAAAAAAGAGTTACAACGGTATATAAATATAGTAAAAATTTGGGTTTATTAGGGTTCGGTATTTTATGGTAATACAAATTTGTGGTTTACGGTTTATAACAAATACAAACTTTACGATGATTGTACTCACAGAACTTTAGCCGTGTTGTTTGATATTAATCGTGGCTTTGTTGGTAAATAAATTAACGACTACAATAAAAAGTCATTGTTTGGTAAAAATTACATTGGCAGATATTCTCTTATTACACCGTTAACTGATATCAATTTTAAATCAATTTTAAATTTTTGCTCGACTAAAAATTTTACAATTACAATAAAATCGTTTAAATATATTGTGATGAAAACAGAAACGACAAAAGTAATCACAA